ATTTGTCAATATTTGCCGAATGGAATAAGCTCACGAGTCATTTTTCGGCCACTGCGACGTGAGTTTCGATCAAGTCGCTTCTTTACCTTTTGAACCATTTTTGCTGATTTTGTTGTTTTCTTCCGTCCACTTCCTTGACGTGGTGGCTACGCTACCAGTATCACGGTAACGAGCAATGGTACGAGACACAAACGATTTATTCACATTTAAATGCTGGAGAGCTCTAAAGATAGCCACTTGCGGTTTTCCAGCCAAACATAAAGAAATCACACTATCACGCTTGAATTCCATCACGAATAACTTTTTTTCTGGAAAATTCTCACCAAAATGCTTTTGTACGCTTGTAAACAATTTAATGAGCTGTCACCGGAATAATTTTGACAGCTGTCGGACGAGTGGCTTAGAAATGACAGCGGTCTGAAGTTGGTTGCAATTTTTTCATCTCACCCTGTGTATCCCATATCTTAACTATCAGGATCACGGTAATGGTCAAAAGTGATCTTTTAATATATATGTGATTTGGTCGCGATTATTTTTTTTTTTTTTTTTTTTTGACATAAAAGTTATGGTTTATATTACCCGATTGGTTTATAATTGTGGCCAGTAGAGCAACAGCAAAATCAGGAAAACTTTCTGTTTTAACCCTTAAATACTTTGTGATCTTCTTTAAAAACAATAGGCTTTTATTCTGACCATAACCCGACTTCTAATATCGGGCCATAGTAACACCCTGTAGCGTGATTACAAATTGACATGGACAGACGGACGGATGGACATACATAAATGTATCGACTCAGCTGGGAGAGATAGGAAGATCCGTTTATAGTTTCCTTCGTCGGGGACCAATATTTCGAGGTGTTACACAATTTTTGGCCCAATGAAAAATGTACAGGGTGAGATGTAATTTCTAAGCCACTCTTCATTCAGCTGTTAAAATGATTCCAGTGACAGCTCATTATGTTGTTTAGAAGCGTACAAAAGCATTTTGGTGAGAATTCAAGCGTCATAGTGTGATTTATATATATTTAGCTGGAAAAGCACAAGCGGCTATCTTCTGTGTCTCGTGCCGCCTGACGTCAAGGAGGTGGACGAAAGAAAACAACAACATCAGCAGAAATGATTCGGAAGGTAAAGAAGCGACTTGATCGAAACCCACGTCGCAGTTGCCGAAGAATGGCTCGCGAGCTGAACATATCGCAATATTCCATTCGGCAAATATTTAAAAGTGAGCTCGGGGTAAAGCCTTTGGAATTCTAAAAAGTTCATGAACTTACACCGCAACAGAAAAAAATAGACCCAAAACAGCTAAAGAGTTGCTTAGCTTGTCCGAAAGTGGTGAACTGCCGAATTTGGTTTTCTCCGATGAGCAGTTTGTAAACAAACAAAATTATCGTGTTTACTTGCCAAAGAGGTCAGGTGAAAATGTGCACCTTCGGTTGGCCAAAAGAATTCAAGCGCCGGCCATGGTGATGTTGTGGGCCGCCGTAACAGCCGATGGTCGCTTCCCGCTCGCATTAATCGACCGTGGGACTTATGGGAAGGTGTATTTAGACTGATCATTAATTCATAATTCTCCCTTCAAAGATTAATTTAATTCTATTAAAGTAGCGATTTCGGATGTAACTTTTTATAATTTTTACTACTATAATGACTGCATAACATAGGATTTTTATACATTTATCATTAACTATTTTTTATTGCTCGAACAGACTTTAATGCCTGCAGCATTCTTTTTTATTTAAGTTTGCTTTCATTTGTGGCTTTGTTTTTTGGTGTTGACTGAGCGACTTTGTGTATTTCCAATTTTGGTTTGCAGCAATAAAATCATTTTCTGGTGAAAGGTCAGGTTTTTACGTGATTGGGCACCGGCAGTATGCTACAACGTATTTTGTGTTGCCTGCTACCCAATGTTTGTGAGTGATTTTATTTTTTGTTTTTATTTCTTTGGCATTTTGAGTTTATTGTGTTTTTGTTGTTTTTGTTTTTCCCTCATGCTCTTATAATTGATTACAGCGGTTTCGTTTTAATGAATTCATACTAAGAAAGTAGTTACGGCATGCGGGAGTTTGAAATTGTATTTTGGTTTTATTTTTGTGTGGGCTTCTTTTTATTTTTGGTAAGCAACTGTGGGAAACTGAATAAAGAAAAACAGGGGTTAAAGTGGAATGACACCGCAAACGGTAACTTCTTTTATTACCAAATTTTTGTATTTTCACTGTACCTTTTATACGTCATAAAATATTTTTTCGTGAACGGTGTTTTCTTGAGATGGAAAAAAAAATTAAAATGAGTAATGGAAACATCTTAACCATAACTAAATATATTCAACAATGAAAGAATTTAATTACATTAAATAGACATTATTCTGTAATTTAATTTGGAAAGGCATCTATTGGCATCACCGATTTTAAAAAATAATAATGGAATTCGACAGTACACATAATAAAATAAGGGATGCGGAATCAAGCCATTATAGAGCTATAGCTATATCTGAATCTCCAAATTTGATGTACTTGCTTCTGGACTGAATTCGGCCAGATGTACAAAAATTCAGGACTTAACCGGAAATCGGTTGAAGATATATATATATATATATATATATATATATATATATATATATATATATATATATATATATATATATATATATATATATATATATATATATATATATATATATATATATATACATATATATATATATATATATATATAGGACCTATATCCAAATCTGAACCGATCTTTGTAAAATTTGGCAGAGGTATTTCCGAACCCCATAAGATATCTGGCTCCAAATATCATCGTTGTCGAATGCATATTACGAATTTGAGGGACTTCAACACCAAATCGTATGAAACATATATCTGAACAGATTATCTTCGAATTCGAAGTACTTACTTCTAGACTGATTCAGGATTTTGAAATCGGCCATTTGGTGCACAATTAACTCGAAATCAGTTGAAGATATATATGGGAGCTATATCCAAATCGGTACCGATCTTGGTATAACTTAGCGGAGGTATTTCTGGGCTGCATCTGATAACTGGTACCAAATATCATTGTTGTCGAATGCATATTACTCTTGTGAGGGACTTAAAACTCCAAATCGGATGAAACATATATAAAGGAGCTATAGCTATATCTGTACTGATTTTCTCCAAATTTTATTTACTTGCTTCCAGATTGAATTCGGTTGGATGCGCCAAAATTCAGGTCATTTGGACTTATATTGGCCATTTATTACACAATCAACCCGAAATTGGTTGAATATATATATATATATATATATATATGGGAGCTATATCCAAATCAGAACCGATCTTTAGAAAATTTTGCAGAGGCATTTTCGAGCTCTATAAGATATCTGGAACCAAATATCATTGTTGTCGAATGGATATTATGAATGTGAGAGACTTAAGTTCCAAATCGAATGAAACATATATATGGGAGCTATGGTTATATCTGAACCGAATTTCACCATATTTGATGTACTGGCTTCTAGACTGCATTCAGTTGGATGTGCAAAAATTCAGATAATTGCGACTTATTGGAAGATATATGAGTGCTATATCCATATCTGATCCGATTATTTGAATTGGGTTCGTTCTTGGGCCAAACAAATATTGTTTAGAGAATTTCATCTCAATCGGATAATAAATGCGACCTGCTGTTTGTTCAAAAGAACACATGGACAGACGGACGAACGGACAGGCGAACTGACTGACATGATTAATTCGACTCAGAAACAAGTTAAAAAGCAGTAAGTTCGGCCAGGCTGAACTTTTAATACCCTCCACCATTTGAAACGAATTTGAAATTTTTAAAAAATTACTATCCGTTAAAAATTCTGTTAAAATTTTAAAAAATACCGAATATAGCTGTTATATTGGAGTCTATACGACGTGGACCTAAAAAAGGCATTGTTTGTCATAACCTATTACCATATTCAAATTGGATTCTTGAAATAAACGGTAAATAATGATTTGAAATTTGAAACAATTCCGGTAAATAATTTCGCTAAAATCGTCAAAATACCGAATATAGGAAGGTACCGTTATACAGGGGCAATACGAAGACGTGGACCTGCACAAACAATTTTCTGCCTTAGGGTGTAGTATCCATTTTGAACTTCAAATACCAAATTTTAAATTACTTCCGGGAAAAAGGTCGCTAAAATCATCAAAATACCGAATATCGGGAGGTACCGTTATATGGGGGCTATACGAAGACGTGGACGTGCACAGACAATTTTCTGTCATAGGGTGTAGTATCCCTTTGGAACTTCAAATACCAAATTTTAAACAATTCCGATGAATAATATCCCTAAAATCATCAAAATACCGAATATCGCGAGGTACCGTTATATGGGGGCTTTATGAAAACGTGGACCTACATGACCCATTTACCAAATTAATTTAGCCTACTGGTAAAATAAACATGTCTGCAAAATTTTAGCCTTCTAGCTCGATTCGTTCGAAAGATAGCGTAATTACAACAGACGGACGGACGGACAGACAGACACACAGACAAACAGACGGACATCGCTTAATCGACATAGAATTTTACGCTGATCAAGAATATATATTTTTTTAGGTCTTACATGAGTATTTCGAGGAGTTACAAACGGAATGACAAAGTTAATATACCCTCCATAGTATGGTGGAGGGTATAAAAATGATTCTATGATGATCCTAAACAGTAACTATGGGTCTATTTCGCTTCCTTCGCTTCCTGTTACAAATAAATGCACAAAGACATAATACCCTTACCACTATGTGGCGTATAGAATATATAAAATACAATGTGAAAAATCAATTTACATATGACACTAACATCAAGTCTAATCGGCCCTTAAGCAAAAAAATATATTTACTTTACAAAAGTATTCTCTTCTATCTGATTCCCAGAATGGAAAACAAATTCATGAAAATCACTGCAAACTTACGAGATAACAATGGGAGGCACGCTAATCCAAATGTCTACAAAGTGGCTTTACTTACGTTATATCTCGATCTTTGTTTTTCTTGGAATTATTTCTCAGAAGATTATTCAACTCTTTCATAACATCGCTACCTTTGCGATCTAGCTCGGAGAACAGCTCACTGTCATCAATTTTATTTAAATCAGAACCACTGCGACTTTTGATGGACACCGATCTGTAATATTACAAAAAACACACAATTAATGTTGAGTGTGAAACACATGACAGACAGACTCTCACCTATCAATCGAATCCATGCTGCTGGCCATATCGAAATCCATCATCAAATCATCGGAACAAATTGATTCGCATGGCGAGAGCGTGTCGAGCGACTCAGCCCGTTCCATCACTGCCTTGCGCACAGACAGAGGTGTACGCAAACTCAACTCCATGGCCTGGTATAGGGCACTGCGTGACCTATTCGTTTGGCTGTGTATGGAGTTGCGCAGCGAACTTAAGCTCTCCATCAGAGTTGGTGTATCGGTTCGATCTCTGCGCGATGCGCCGCTCTCTGCCCCACCATCCTGTGATTCTTGATTGAATAGTAGAGCCGGCTGATCGGCTATCTCATCATCAATTAAATTACCACAGTCCGAGAGGGACAGAGAACGCGAGCAGTGAGTTGGAGTACCGGGCGATAGAGGGCTAGCCAAGTCTAATTCTGGCGAAATTTCATCGATATCCTTCTCCTGCAATTCCTCATTGATTTTGTGTTTCTTTTGTTTGCAGGCCGCTCCTTCGGATTCGCTACTACTGACCAAGCTGTCGGTAGGTGAAGTTTCGTCATCCAATAGAAATGTGCTACCCTCCAAAGCCATTTCGGCAAATTTAGTCTCATTCAATGAGTGGCAAAGGGTTTTCGGGCGTTCCACCATATCGTCCATGACGTTATCGGATAGTACATCTAGTGTTGTGGATTCTTTTGGTAAAGCATCGATTTCATCGTTGAGCGTAACAGGTTCAGTTAGTGAAGCTATAAAAATAATGGGTTAAAAATTGCTCGAAATTAAATGAATTATTGCTACATACATAATGTGCTGATTTGTACATCGGTATTTAGTGTGACCAGGTCATCATCATTAATTTCAAACGACAGATTACGTGTGCTTTCCTTTTTCTCCTCTAGGAGTTTATTGTCCTGCTTATTGCTATCCTCACTGCTATCCAAACTTAACGTACTAAAATCATTCGCTGCCAATGACTCGCCTGCATTACACCAGGATGAAATAATTGAACTTCCGGGAGACGATGTTTTGCTGGAACATGTATTGATGTCTTTGAATTGACGTTCCTACAAATGAAAAACAAAAAGAAATAATTTATTTTTATTTTGTTTACCGAGTACTTCACAAAGTGTAATTTGATGGGGTTACACAGGAGATAAATTTATTTCACAGTTTGGATTTCCTTCAAAAGTTTTCAGTATCCATATCATGGCCTACATAAGTATCCATATCATGGCCTACATAGTAATCTTCTTCCTTTACCTTTTATGAGATATGTGATCATTTTTAGAAAATGATAAAATGTGCGTGAGGTATCAGATATAGTCGAATGAAAAATTCAATTTCACACTTCACCTAAAACAGATAAAACCTCAAAAGTCTGGCGGGGCCGACTATATGATACCCAACACCACTATGCATATTTAGTGGAGCTTTCGTAAAAGAAAAGTTTATATTGGGCATTTCTTAGCTCTATAAGATATCTGGTACAAAATATAATTATGGTAGAGTGCATATTCCGAACTTTGGAGATTTAAACACCAAATCAGATGAAATATATATATGGAAGCTATAGCTATATCTGAACCGATTTCCACCAAATTTAAAGTACTTACTTACTATACTGAATTCGGTCGGAAGGGCCAAAATTCACACCATTTGGACTGATATTAGCCATTTGGTGCACAAGAAACCTAAAATCGGATGACGATATATATGGAAGCTATATGCAAATCATAACCGAACTTGATAAAATTTGATTTACGAATTGCTAGGCTGTATCTGATATCTGGTGCTAAATATCAGTCTCGTGGAGTGCATATAACGAATGTAAGGGACTTAAACACCAAAATCGGATGAAACATATATATGGGAGCTATAGCTATATCTGGCCCGATTTTCACCAAATTTGCAGCACATGGCCGAATTTGCTCCGATGTAAAAAAATTCAAATTTAAAATCGGATGAAGATATATATGGGAACTATATCTAAATTTGGACCGATTTTCACCAATTTTAATAGGGTTCGTCCTTGAGCCAAACAAATGTTATTTAGAAAATTTCTCTCAATCGAATGATAAATGCGACCTGCATTTTGTTTACAAAAATACATGGACAGACAGGCGGACGGACGGACATGCATAAATCGACTCAAAATGTGTTTCTATGCTGATCATAAAAAGGAACTATGGGTCTATCTCGTTTCATTCTCCATGTTACAAACAAATGCACAAAGACATAATACCCTTACCACTATGTGGTGTAGGGTATAAATATTGGTATTGGCAAAATTTAAAGAAAATTGAACATTTATATCCGATTTTATGGGAAATCATAAATTTCATATGTATCCCAGGTTTCTGGTTGAGAGAAATATCTAGAAGTAGCAAGTTTTAAAGAATCGCTGACTTGTTTCAGAATTTTCGACAGATAAAAGTATTGAAAATTTTGACCATTTTGTGAGTGAGGTACCAGAAGAAATGGTCCGATATCTACCATCCTTATAACAGATCTTATGTTTATGGAAATATTGAGATGTACCAATTCTGAATGAAATCGGATGTTAATTTCGAGTCTTATGAGCTTCATGGATATTCAAAATTGGGACCGTTTGTGGGGAGAGTACCAGGAGGAGAAGACCGAGATATCCCATATTCACAGCAGATCTTGTGTTAGTAAAAATAATGGGTTGTGTGAAAAACCGGATGCTTATCTCGGATTTTATGATCGTTTTGGCTATTCAAAACGTTGAGCCTTTGTGGGGAGGTATCAGAAGAAATGGACCGATTAGATCTTGAGATAATATAAAATATTGAGATGTTCGTAGTCTAAATGGAATCGGATATTAATTTTGCGTTTTATGAGCTTCATGGATATTCAAAATGGTGACCCTTTGTGGGGGAGGTATTTGATGGAGTGGACCGATATTGTCCATTAGTCCACCAGACCAGACACTGATGCAAATAGTAGGATTCGCATAGTTGGAGCACAATCGGTTCAACCTTTCTCTGTCTGTGAATTATTTATTTATTTTTTTTTGAAAATTTCGAGTTTTTTTAGAGGTACCAGAAGGAGTGGACCGATATATTTCATATTCATACCAGACCTTGGGTTAATAAAAAGAATGTTATGTGTGTAATTTGAAGACAATCGAACTCTTATAACACATTTGATAAGCGTTATAATTTTTAAAAATTTTGACCCTTTGTGGGCTGATGTCATTTTCGCCGAATTTTTTTATTTTTTGAAAATTTCGACCTTTTGTTGGTACCAGAAGGAGTGGACCGATAATCCAATGGGCTTATTGGGAGGCGATTTCGGAGAAATTTTTTTTTTACTTTCAGGAACGGTCAATTGGCTACCTAGATCGTGCGATTTAACGCCCTTAAACTATTTTTGGAATGAGTATGTTGCTTATGGAAATACTTTTACAGCATGTGGTCATATGATTGAATCCTTTCTGGAGCAATACAAGGAAATTGGTATTTTTGTACCAAAAGTTTTGAAAACCCTTAAAATGTCGAAAATGGACCCACTAAGGGGTACTAAGATCTATATACTACATTAAAGCCTATGTTCTTGCCTTTCAAAATGCCAAATGGGCTGATATCTTTTGTAGTTCCGAATATGTTTGTGATAAAAATCATAAAACTGAGATTTTCTCTACGAATATGTATCAAAGCAGCCTTCGGCTGGGACTAAAGGCTTCCTCATCTGGCGTATGTCCAACATTAGCTACGCGATCCATAGTTTTTCTAAACGTTATAATTTTTGTATGTGGCCGGCACTTGGGATTTTCTCCTCTGGGATATGTCCAACACTGGCTACGCAATCTATAGTTTTTTTAAACTTAATATTTTTTTTTTTAATTTAAGGTCAATCCGGGGCATTACGTCCGCTATGTCCGGATTGACCTTTATTATGGGGGTTATTACCAAAAAATCGAGACATAATCCACATAATTGCAATGGCGTTGGGATTATGCTCGAGCACCACTGTCGCTTTCATTTTTATTTTTCCGAATTGTACGTGCTTTTAAAGCTTATAGCTCTTCGAATTATATATCTTTTCAATGGATACTAAAACGGTACCGACCGAATTTAAGCAAAGATTTTGACATTGATTTAGATCCGATTTAAATTATTTAATTAAATTAAATATTCAAAAAAATGCACCTTTGCTCCTTTCTCCGTGGCCGATCTATCCAGATGTAGCTTTTCTTCGTCAACAAATTCACTATCTTCCTCCGAAGCTTGCCTCGATGTTGATTGACTTATGTTACCCAAATCAGTATCCAATTTTACTAAAATTACACAAGACTCAAATAATTATTAAGCCCTCCTCCAAAAAATATTCTTTCCCTGAGTACCTGTTTGTTTCTGTTTATTTTCAGCATTGCGTGACTCATAGGATTCACGACTCAATACCGTATTGGAGCGTATCAAACCGCTAAGCGGTAGTGGCACAGTTTGATTTTCAGTTGGCAACTTTGGTAAGGCCAAAGGTTCAACAATAGAACTATCTCCACTCGACAAGGAGTCATCCAAATCTCTCACCTCGAAACGATGACGACCATTCATTACCATCTGTAAATTACGTGGACGACTGCGACTTCGTTTCGGAGATGATTTGTGGGCGCCAGTACTCATTCGACTGGAACCGGAACTGTCGAGAGCCATGTCAAGACTAGCAATACCCGAATCAGCAGAAATCTCTCGGCTGCCGGAGAATGTTCGTCGAGTGCTGTTTGTCATATGTTTGGCTGCTTTGGAATCTGTCAGTGGATGCTGTGGACGGTTCCATGAATTGTCTCTGGTGCGTGACGATGTCGATGAGGAGGAATTGTATGAAGTGCTGGCTGGAGTTGTTGGCGTCGATACATTAATGCTAATGGGTACAGCAAATTCCGGCTTTGGTAAACTGACTGTCTGCAGAGTGTATTTGGTATAAGCTGTTGCAGTTGTTGTTGCCGGAGCCGTTGTCGTTGAGGCCAATGGCAATCTGGCTGTGGGCCGTAGTCTAAGTAATACAAAAGAAACAATAATATATATAGAAGGTCTTAAAAAAAGTCAATTTCTATGCACTACTTACATGACATTGTTGTGCATGCCCGTTGTAATGACATTACTTTTTGCCATTCCTCCATAGCCATGGCGACCACTTATACCAGACACAGGTGGCTGCTCAAAGAACTGACGTCTGTCATACTCAATGGTGCTGTTTTGTTTTAAATTGAACGTTATCGTCTTGGGCTGAGTGGCACGAGGTGCAGCACTTGCTTCGGTATCGCTTTCATTGGATGTGGATGGTGTACGTCCGGCATGTGCGCTCTTTGAACGACGTTTCACTTATAAATGGGAAAAATAATGTGACGTTAGATAAAAGCATTATAGGCACATTAAAGAAATATGAAACATAAAAAAGGTGAAAAAACCAAAAGAAAAACTTCTGGTGTCGTTGGGAAACTGTTTAGTTAGAGTCTGAGGCAACATGCTTATGTAAGCCTAAAACATCCTTTTAAAACTGATGGAATAAGGTTGCTTCAATTTTATGATTCTTACATTTTTCTTTTACAAAACCATTTTGAAAAATTATAAAAAAAATATTGAGGGAAAATCAACTAATTTTGGTCAATGCGTTAAAAAATGCTGGTGTCAAATCTGTTTACGTTCGAAAATTGTTTATTAATTATTCAAAAAATCTTTATTTGGAGCAAATGGACAATTTGTTCATAAATTGTTAACCGCATTCCTTAACTATACTAAAAGGCCATATAATTTATTTTCTCATTCTACATTACTGTTTTTAAAGCCTCAGCTATATAGCTATAGAGGGTATATATATTTCATTTAATACAACCAAAATGTGCCTCATCGAAATAATAATCGATAGGGTCTGGCCATAACTCTCGAAGCGAGTATCCGTTTTGGTGCAAACTTTATATATCGTAATATTATTGTCAAATTTAGATTGAGTTCGGAGAAGGGCAACATCGATCTACTCCTTCTGGTATCTCCCCCATCGACAAAATTGACACTGAAAATAATTCACCTCATAGAACAAGAAATGATCTAATTTTGTGCAAACTTTGCAAATCCTAATATTTCATCAGTGTTAAGTCTGGTGCGAAAATAGACAATATCGGTACCTCCCACAAGGGGTGAAAATTCGGAATAATTAAAACTCTCATAAAATGGGAAATAAGTATCCGATTCCTTTTAAACTCGGCACATCCCAATGCTTCCATCAACGCAAAGTCTTATATGGGAATATTTTGATGTATTGGCCCACTGTTTCTAGTAACTGCACCATAAAGGGGTCAAATTAACACTAATATTTCATCAGTGTTAAGTCTGGTGCGAAAATAGACAATATCGGTACCTCCCACAAGGGGTGAAAATTCGGAATAATTAAAACTCTCATAAAATGGGAAATAAGTATCCGATTCCTTTTAAACTCGGCACATCCCAATGCTTCCATCAACGCAAAGTCTTATATGGGAATATTTTGATGTATTGGCCCACTGTTTCTAGTAACTGCACCATAAAGGGGTCAAATTTTTGAATAACAAAACGCGAAATAAGTAACCGATTTTCTTCAAATTTCACACATCCCAATATTTTTACTAAAACAAGATTTGGTGTGAAAATTTGATATATCGGCGGATTCCTTCTGGTACCTCCCCCACAAAAGTGACAGAAACTCTAGGTCATAACGGGTCCTAGTTCGTGTGGCGAAACATTGTATGTATTGGTCCACGTTTTGGTATAGTCCCCATATAACGGTACCTCCCGATATTCTGTATTTTAATGGTTTTTGCCACATTTTTTCCTAGTTCGTGTGGCGAATCATTTGTAATTACAGGTCCACGTTTTGGAATAGTCCCTATATAGCCGTATTTCCCGATATTCGATATTGTCTAAAATGAATATGTCTAAAAATTGATATATGGGCTTTAATGTTTCCTTTACCCTAAGGTGGAGGGTATTAAAAGTTTGACCCGGCCGAACTTAATGCTTTTTTACTTGTTCAATTTTATTTTATATTTTTTTTGTTATGTTTTAAATTTGTTTGGGTTGCCAAAAGAAATCAACTCTGACTAGGATATGCCTCCCTCACATTAGTGTCTTGCGATTCAATTTATATTTAGCCGTTTAAAAAAAGATTATAGTTGATATGATAAACATAAATTCCCAAATACAAACGTTTAATTGTTAGGGGTAGCTCTACTAAAAATGCATAATGGCGTAGGAAATCATGTATCCGATCCAGCCCGACTTTACACCATTCAAAACTGTTTTAATTTCTCAAATATGGATTTACCGGTAATTATTTTTAGCAAACTGAGAAAATTCAAGGGACTGATAAATAATAAATATCTCCTGCCTGTTCAATAGCCCTGCCTTCGAGGACCTTAGCTAAACTCTTCTGATCGTTTTTTGTTGAATGTTAAATATTTCTACAACATTAATTCAGCCATTTGCTTGCTATTGATATAAATCGTTATCTTGAATTTAAATTACGCTTTGAAATAAATGCAAAACGTGCTGTCGTTAAAAAAAAAAAAACTTTTTGAGCAGGTGTTCATTCCCTTCAATTACAAAATACTAAAACACCTCACTTCTCCACTCACACACACATCGCTAAAAACAATACTTACAGTTACTCACGAGTTGTCCTTTGATGTTGTTTCCTGCTATAGCATTGTTATTGTTCTCAACATTATCGTTTGTTTCGTTCTTACTACGGGATGTTATATCTGTAGATGATGGTCGTATCGGTCCACGATAGCCAAAGCGACTGCCGGCACCAGGTAGTAGAACATTTCCATTACCACCACCACCACCACCTCCAACGCCCGTCAACAACCCTGTTGTATTGTTTGTGACTGTTGATGTGTTGCCCGAGTTCAAGTTGTTTGCGGCCACTGCTCCCATTTTATCAAAGTGAACATTGTTGAGTAAATCTAATTAAAAATCGAATAATTAAAAAAAAATAGAAAAACATATTCATAAATGAATATTGGTTATTTTGTTTTATGGGAAGTATGCCAAAGTTGATTTACCTGCATTGCCATTATCATCCTTCGTCATTGTTGGGTTGGTTGTTGTCATACCTGTTGTACTTTTCACATCATTTCCAACATTAGTTTGAGCGAACTTCGTACCATTGTCTGCTGTATCATAACCACCCGAATCAATTTGCTCAGCCGAAATGTCAGCTTCTGTGTCATTCGTACAGACATTATTACATATATCCTGTTTCTTTTTGCCGTTTTCTCCCTTTAGCAATTTTTTCAATTTTTTAGGCGTTGTATTGAGATTTTTGCGAAATCCAAAAGACATGGCCGTACCTTTGGTTTGAATTTCACCTGCATTGTGTTTCTTTGAATGCCTTTTGCTTTCGGTTTGACCCTAAAAATGTCAAAGAAAAATGTGTATAATTGAATTAGACAAGAGAGCATATATATGTACACATAAATAAATGTTTGTTTGAAATGAATGAGTTGGCCACAATAAATGTACACATGGGTGAGTTCAAAATAGAGATGTCGTTAACCATAAAACGTGGGGTTCTCTGTTCTCCTTTCATACAGACATTGTAAACTACGAATAAGAAAAGATATAAAACAATTTAGGGTTGGCAAAACAATGTATAGGCACATGTGCCACTTTCAGCACTGCTTGTAATGACAGCTACATGCCATTTGCCTTACTAGTAGGCAATATTGACAGTAAGTCAAACAGTTAGTTAGGCCTAGAAAATATATAAGAAAAAATAGCTTACTATTATCTTACGAAATGATTAGACTAAAAGACTCAAGCCACGAAGTCGGATACAAATTATGTCAAGTAAAATGCAGCTAAGTTCGTCCGTGCCGAACCTTTTAAACCCATTTGAAAGGAACTAGCTCATATAAAACCAGTAAAGAAAGTCCTAAAGTCGGGCGGGGCCGATTTTATGATACCCTACACCACTTTGCTAATTTAGTAGAGCTCCACATAACTATTAAAAGTTTTTATGGGAGAGTTCAATCATACACGCTATGATTATAATTATAATTTAAAGTTTAAAGGACTAAATATGCTGAAGCTTTTGTGTCTTTTAAATTCGGACTTGTATTGCCCATTTGGTGAAAATTAATTTGAAATCAGATAAAGATATATATGTGAGCTATATCCAAATCTGAACCGATCTCGATAAAATTTGGCAAAGATATTTCTGAGCTATATTTGATATATTTCCCTGAATATAGCTGTTACAGAGTGCATATTGCGGATGCGGAGGACAAAAATAACAAATCGGATGAACAATATATATGGGAGCTATAGCTATATCTGCACCGATTTCGATCAAATTTGGCATACTTATTTTCAGGTCTAATTTGGTTGAATGTGCAAAATTCCATACTATTCAGGCTGATATTACACGTTTGGTGCACAATAAAAGGCAAATCGGACGAAGATATATATGGGAGCTATATCTAAATTTTTACCGATTATCTCCAATTTCAATAGGGTTCGTCCTTGGGCCAAACAAATGTTGTTTGGAAAATTTTATCTCAATTGGATAATAAATGCGACCTGCATTTTGTTCACAAGAATACATGGACAGACGGACGGACGGACGGACGGACGGACGGACAGACGGACTGACATGCATAAATCGACTCAGAAAGTGATTCTATGAAGGTTCTCAAAAGTAACTATAGGCCTATCTCGTTTCCTTCTCCATGTTACAAACAAATGCACAAAGACATAATGCCCTGACCACCTTGTGGTGTAGGGTATAAAAATCCACTGAAAAAAGCAGCAAAAATTTAAAAAAACGCAACAAAGTCAAACGCCATAATTTTATTTTTTTTTTAGATTTTATTGAATGAAAGTAAAAAATGTCGGAAATAGCATAAAATTTTAGAATAAGTTTAGATTTGTACGAATTGGTCACCTTTGGCACGAATTATGGCCTTCAAATGGCCAATGAAACCGTCACACGCTGCCCGAATGTAGCTCTGCGGTATTTTGGCCCATTCCCGGCGAAGCGCTTTCTGGAGGTGATCGACACTTTGGTATGTTTTAATGCCAACCTTGCTATCTAAAATACTCCAGACACAATAGTCCAACGGATTGGTATCCGGAGTTTTTGGTGGCCATTGTGCGCTGGAAATGAGGCGAGGAACCTCATTTTGTAACCATAATTGGGTGGCAAGAGCTGAGTGCGATGGAGCTGAGTCATGTTGGAATGTCCGAGGCCTGCAGACAAAATGTTTGCGAGCCAAAGGCTTTGATACACCCTCCAGAATATTTTCGCTATAATATTCGGCATTAATTCTGATGCCACGGTCGATTAATAGGAGCGGAGAGACCTTGGACATTTCAACAGGACTCAGCACCTTCGCACTCAGCACGCGCCACCCAAGAATGATTACAAAATAAAGTTCCTCGCTTCATTTCCAGCGCACAATGACCACCAAAATCTGTGTATACCAATCTGTTAGACTATTGAGTCTGGAGTATTTTGGAAAGCAAAGTTGGCACTAAAAAATACCATAGTGTCGATCACCTTAAGCAAGCGCCTCGCTGGGAATGGGCCAAAATACGGCATAGCAACATTCGGGCAGCGTGTGACGGTTTCATTGGCCGTTTGAAGGCCATAATTCGTGCCAAAGGTGAACGATTCGTACAAATCTAGATTTATTCTAAGATTTGATGCTATTTCCAACATTTTTGCTTATGACGTTTGACTTTGTTGCAGTTTTTTATCTTGCCCTGTATATACACTGTAGGGTCTAACAGTAGTGTTTCGAGGAGCTACAAATGGAATGACATAATTATATTACCCTCCATAGAATGGTGGAGGAATCGGATAAACATTCAAGGTACCTTAAAGATAAAATTTTAGCAGCCTACTTTATTTTTCAACCTACTTCGTTTCGTTCGACTGATTTCCCCAAACGGACAAGTAAACAGACGGACGGGCATGGCTAAGTCAACATAGAAGAATTATTTATATTGTGTATTATCTAAAATACTTATTTCGAGGAGTTACAAAGGAAATGACAAACTTAATGTACCCTCTATAGTATGGTGGAGGGTATAAAAACACTTCGCTTTAAATTGGATGTGTGTGCCAAATTTCGCAGAGGAAACTCTTCTTTCTTCTCTTTTGTCAAATTATATTATTTGGGTAAAAAACGTCTTATGCTATGAATCATATCAATTCAGATAGCAAAATACAAGAGATAAGATTAAAAGCAGATTCATTTTTTAAACCTGACAACATTTTCAATAGAAATCAAGTAAAAACAAATTAAGTTCGTCCAGACCGAACTTAAAATACCCTCCATCATTAGCCACTTTAAACTATAAATACCAGTAAGATCGGCGAGAGAGGCGTAAGAAGCGTAAAATTTTCAAAAATCAATAAAGTGGGTGAGATGAAAAAACTGCAACATAGTCAAATGCCATAATTTTTAAATTTTTTAAATTTTATTGAAAGCAAGAAATGTCGAAAATAGCATCAAATTTACGAATAAGTTTAGATTTGTTCGAATTGGTCACCTTTAGACACGAATTATGGCCTTCAAAGAAAGAAACCGTCACACGCTGCCGGCGAAGCGCTTGCGTGAGGTGATCGACACTTTGGTGTTTTTAGTGTCAACCTTGCTTTCCAAAATACTCCAGACACAATAGTCCAACGGATTGGTATCCGGAGATTTTGGTGGACATTTTACGCTAGAAATGAAGCGAGGAACTCATTTTCTAACCATTCTTGGGTGGCGTGTGCTGAGTCCTGTTGGAATGTCAAAGGTACGCGGCCAAAATGTTTGCGTGGTCGAGGCTTTAATACACCCTCTAGAATATTTTTCGGAAAATATTCGGCATTTATTCTGATGCCACGGTGGATTAATATGAGCGGAGAGCCACCATAACTGGAATAAATTTAACAGCTGTCGGACAAGTGGCTTAGAAATGACGGCAGTCTGAAGTTGGTTGCCGTTTTTTCATCTCACCCTGTAGACAATTTTATGCTACAAACTTTTTTTCTATTCCAAGTCTTAAACATCAAACTTGGAATAATTCCGTGGGTAAATGTGACTAGAATTATAAAAATACCGAATATCGGTTGTTACCATTATATGGAAACAGGGGACCAATATAGACAATGTTTTGATACCGGTCGTAGAACCGAGTATGAACTACAAATAACAAATTTTTAAAAATATATGTTAGAAAATGTGGTTTAAATTAAACACCGAATATCCGAAGATACCTTTATACATAAGTGTGTGGACCTACATATACATTGTTCTGCCACCGGAGATAGAACCTATTACGAATTAAAAATACCAATTTTTAGACAAATCTCTGAAAAATATTGCTAAAACTATCAAAGTACCGAATTTCGCGAGCTAACGTTTAATGGAGGCTGTAGTAAAACTTGGACATATACAATTACCAGCAGTAGAAAACTATACTAACTCTTAATATCAAATTTTAAAGATGTGGCAAAAATCATCAAAATACCGAATATCGGGAGATACAGTAATTTGGATTGCTATACCAATACCAATGATCCGATATATCTCATTTCCAATACGAACCAAAAGCTCTACGTCAAATAATGAGGGCTGTATGGCGATTTCAATAGACAGACAGATGGACAATCGACATAAAATGTTATACTAATATTGAATATATATATAATTTATGGGATCTACGGCGAACATTTAAAGGTGATACAAATGGAATGACAAATTTAATATACCCTTTTTGAAAAGGTAGAGGATATAAAAACTTTTATTTTTTATGTAAATAAATCTTACATAAAATTTTAACCTAATATTGAATTCATGGTTTGTCCATAGATGTCAATGAATATTTCTCAAAAAAAGGTCAAACAGGCATTTATTTACTTTGTTTTAAAGCAGAAACGTGGTGATGTCGGGTATCACATCGGCACGTACATATATGAGCCTTTTTAGCTTATGCTTCCATTGTTTGCAAATCCTAATGACTGCTTTGGGAAACTAATGAATAAGGACAATCGAAATTATTTTTATCATTTTCTTCTTTTTATATTTGCCAACACCTGATCTTGTGCTAATAGAAATATTGGGATGTGCTGAATTTGAAAATAATCGGATGCTCATGTCGCTTTTTATGAGCTTCAAATGTTTGATCCGTTGTGGAGAAGTTACCAGAAGTAGTGGATCCGTATCTACCATCTTCAAACGATATCTTTCGTATATTGGAATGTGTGAAATTCAAGGAGAATCTGACGCGTATTTCACATTTTATGAGAGTCATAATTATTCAAAATGTTGACCCTTTGTGATGGAGTGGACCGATATTGTCTATCTTCACATTTAATTGTACAAGGTGAGATAAAGATCTGCAACAAAGTCCAATGC